ATGGGCATTAACTTCAAGCAGAATGATGTAAAAGCTATTAGATCCAAAGCTCTACTAAATGAAATAGAAACTATTTATGATGAGGTTAGTAAATATTATTTATGTGTACAATGCAGACCTTTTATTTACATAAGCCTTTTGTTGTTCACTTAATTTTATTTATCAGTAGCTAATTTGAGTGGTAACTGCTTTTGTTTGATTTCATTTTCACACATTGAAAAATAGTTATTAATAGGTATCTGAAACTTCCCTAGTTTACAGTGCAAATATGTGCGAAAGTACTTAAATTTCCTTCCATTTCAACTGCTGATATCTCATTGATTTTGAAGGATATTTTGATAAAATTAGTAAATAAACAAAATTTTCTCTTTTTCAGCTGTTATTAGTTTTTATTACAGGTCTCTTTAAATTATGTCACTATTTTTCCATGACACTGATTTTTTTTCAAAGTTGACAATTCCATAGTAGTGTTTTTCAAATTAGTTGCTATCCAAGCTCTCTGTTTACACATATCAGGTTAGCCTCATCCTAAAGAAAAAAAAAGGTTGCTCATCAATTTGGTGGGCAAACCATAAGATTTGAATATCTTTCACAAAAAAATAAAAAATAAAAAACTTTTATGTTGAAAATCTTAGTGCATGGAATACCAGAGATATTCAACACATAAAAAAAAATTAAAAAGAAAAATAAACACCTCCTTGTAGAGCAATAACTCGTTTTTTTAATAATCATGTTATTTCAGATTTCTGTGCACACACATCTTGTGGTGCACACAAATTAAAAACAATGTATACTGCATTCATTTTGTGCAGGACAGGTCTGATGCATTGAAATTTGTATTGCTGACTGAGTCAATGAACAATGTCAGCTGAATCCCATTTTTAATCAAACTTGTTTCATCAATGGATAAATCTTTTTCTTATATTTTCTTTAATGATGCATTTTAGAAATGTATAAAGCAATTATTTATTTTTAAATTCAAGAAACCTTTTTTTAATTATTTGAAATATAACAGCCTAAAGATAATTTGTGGGGGTGGATAGAAAACAATTTTATGTATTTAAATATTTTAAGTTTGTAAGACTTTTTTAAAATGCGAAATTTCCATTCTTGACCGCAAATGAAAATAAGATTTAAAAATTCCTAAAAGTCCAGTATTTGTCTCTAATTTCAAAATAAATTAATGAAATTAAGGAATAACTAACTGGAGTTTGTAATTTAAAAAAAAAAAAAAAGTACTTATTTTTATTTAAATTAATGTTTATTTACACACACTAACCTGTGAATTGTCATAACCACCTCATAACTAAGGTTAACATTAAAAAAAAATGGTATTAAACTTTACATTTTTCAATTCTTAAAACTAAAACATCTTCATTTAATAGAAAAATTCCTTATTGGAGGAATTTCAGAATTGCACTAAAAAAATAAGTACATTTTTTAAAAGTAGATATTCAATGTAGGTCTTCTTAGTGCCAAATGTGAAAGAAAATATTTTTAATTATACAAGTCCCTACTCTCAACAAATGTTTTAAGTTTTAAATTATTTTTGTTAGGATCCATGATAAACTTTATGTTCCCCCAATTTGTTGTTTTTTTACACAAGTAACATCTTCAGAGATATTTGAAAGTAGGGGTGGGACTGAAAGACTACATGCATCACTTCACCATTGTTCAACATTGAACATGCTCAAGTGATAACAGACTACAACTTAGCTAAAAGCAAAATCAGTAACTGTGTGGCAACCCGTTCTTGACATTTCAAGAGATCATGTGAAACAGACATAAGCAACAAGTGCATCTGAAGCTTCATGTACAGGAAAAATGAGATGTAAAAGAAGGGAAAAAGTCTCCTGTTGCGAAACAGAATCATTAACTCGGTCATAAAGCACAGTATGGTGGTCCTGTGAAGTTTATTAAAGATGTACATTAGTGTCAAGCAGTGGCTTGGATATCTGAAGGTCCTCTTAGGTATAACGATGGAAGTAAATCTCAGCTGGAAGTTGCTCTTTGCAACTACTTGACAGGAAAATTGGTTGATTCATTTCCACCTCTAAGACAAAAAAGAAAAGGCATTCAGTGATTCTGAGTATTTAACAACTTTAGCAGTTGTGATGAAGAACCTCCAGTTATGAGCAGCAAGGTCATTGGGTTGCAGGATATTATGACTCCATCTTTTACAATAGCAAGTCAAGGATATTGCATCTCCATTCAGTGCTGTGATAAAGTTTTTAGCTCTAAGGAAGAGCAGAAATGATTATTTCATATGGCCTTTGTCAAATAATATTGTACAAGTGGAATCAACATTTTTGTCTTCACATGTGACTTTGATGTAATACCAGTTTCAAGTGATGACTGAATAATGGAGTTTTTCCAAATGAAGGAAATTCAGTCAGCAAATCATCATTGGGATAGGGAGTGCAAGAGAACCATTCACAATGTCCAAAAAGTCTTTTCTATCAGTTTAAAACGATGTATTTTTCTTTTTTAAAAACAAATTTCCAAATTTTGTGATCATTACCGTCCTGTTTTTGAGGAGTTGAAAATTGGCGAGGCATGTATTACAAAAAGTATTGATATTACCTTGAAAAGAGCACTTTTTGTTTGGTTTTTTTTTTTTTTTTTTTTTTTTTTTTAAGGGAAAAAAAAATTAGTGTCCTCTCTGTTGTGCTATGGTGTAGAGGAAGAAGTTCCAAAGCATTAATTGTTGAAATGAAATTTACATGAGCAGTCAGATTTTTCCCTTCTGTGTCCTGTTTTTATCTTTTTGTTTTTGAGAACCAGATCCTCCCAATGTTTAGACTGGGCCGATCTTAGCATTATTTTTCTTTTATTTCAGCACCACATATCTTACATTTACATTTATAATTCTTGTTTGTTGCCTGCATCTTCATTGTTAAAATTGGAGTTTTCTTCAATAGCACATGAGATGAAAGTTTTTATGAACTTTGAATGGCCATGATTTTGTTGCAAATCTACCAAGATAAATTTGCTACCATTTTTCTTGTTTGCCAAGATCTCTATGCCAGTATTAACTTTTTAGATACATTGAAAATAAAATTTTAGTTTTGGATACTTACTATTAATACACATTTTCAGATGACATGTAATTGAATATAAAAATTTACTTTCTACTTAAGCAAGCAGACCAGTCAGAACGTAAAGATGGTTACACACCAGGCCCTCATCTCTCATTTGTTTATAAAGACAGATCAACAATTGAAGATGCCACAAATCTCATTGTACATCATATGAAACGACAAGCAAGTAAGTCCACTTATTTTTTGTGTGTCTGTGAGTTTATTTTCTTTTCTTTTACTTTTTTCTGCTTTAGCAATATAAGTGACTTTTTCTTATCAGGTATTTCTAAAGATGACAAGCAGCGGATCAAGCAGTTACTCCACCACTTCATTCCAGACTTGTTCTTCATGTCTCGTGGAGAATTAAGTGATGATGAACAAGACAAAGACGAAGGTAAATAGGCAATTGTCATTCTAACATAAGAGTACTTGTAATTCATTGTTATGAAAAAATTGCTAAAATTTGTATGGGAATTGTACAAAAAAGAAACTTGTAGCTTTTTTTTCTTTTTTTTTTTTTTTTTAATTGAAATTCTTTGTTTAAAAGATTTATTTTATTTTTTAGATATGGATGCGGAGGAGGGTGAAAAAACAGAGAAAGATAACTGTGGGAGCCACTCTTTATCTTCTTCCACCAGTAACCTTAGCAGTAATAACCACAATGTTGATCAAATCTCTGACAAAGAGAAAAAATGTGCAGAAATGTCCACAGAAAAGCCATTATTGAATGGTGACCTTGGTAAAGTCAATCCAGATGTTGAAGATGTAAGCATATTTTATCTGTTAGGTATTTTGGAAAGATTTAATCATCTTTATAGGGTTTTTTATTATTGAAACTCCCAATTGATATCACTTTTAAACTTGTCCTTTATTGATTACTGATTTCCTTCTTTTTTTTTCTTTTTTTTTTTAATATAGGTCAGCTATTGTTTTTTGCACTTTTAGACTTCAGTGTGATGTTTTATTGAAGTTTAAATTTATACAGCCATCCCTGTTTTTCTTTTCTAGCAAGATTTATACTCTTTATTTTTTGTGAACAACAATTGGTATCTGTTCTTTCGGCTTCACCAATTACTGTGTGATCGGTTGTGCCAAATCTACACTCAAGCTGTGAAGATTGCTGAGGAAGAAGCAAATGCCAAAAAGAAAGGAAGAAAAGAATCCACAGCTATTGCACTACGTTTACGAGCTCAAAGTAAGTACAAAATCCCACTCCACCATTAGGTGGGGAGGAACTGTCTTTTAAAAAATTATTTAGAGCTAGCCATGATAGAATTTTTTTCTTTTCTTTTTCAGGATAATTTTAAAAATCTGATGGCCATAATAATAATTTATAATTTAAATTTGGTGTTACATAAATTTTTAAAGGGTAAATAAGAAACAAAACTTTTTTCTTTCTGTGTTTGCATGTATTTTTGTAATTCATTTGATAATGATTTGGGGTAGAAAGTATCTAATTTGGATAACTTATGTGCAAAATTTGACAGTTCTTTAATTAAAGCTGTTTACTTGTTTAATAATTAGATACATGGAATCTAATCTTTGGTATAAATATAGCTAAATGTTTACTTTTATATAGTATATAAATTTGGTCAAATTAGTCTTTCATAACAAACTGCAAAACGAAAGAAGGAATCCTTGCTTTTATCAATGTCTGATTTTACTGCCTCTGAGAAAGTAATTATAAACCCTATTGCTGAAATGGGAAGACATGGGCTGAATTATTATGGTGCATTTTCTTTCATATATCTTGATATAAAATAAGATTTTAATCCACTTCAAGTTTGTTGTCAAAATTTTTACTTTTGGTTCTATTAAATTACTATAAGTGAAATATAGAGATCAATGAAATTTGAAGTCAATTTGTAAGAATATAAGTATTAGCTTAGTATTGCACAAGACTAAATGGAGGTTGGAAAGTTCTGTTGTCCCAATAGGAAGTTAGTGTTTTATTATTTTCTTTGGTAAGGTTATTGTTATAGCACACACACTCATAAAATTCATTAAAGTATTTTCTATATGTAATGCTTAGGCTATTGCAGTATTCCTGTATAGTTGGTATGTAGACTGACTCCAATACAACTACTACCAGCCTCGGAACTTGGAACTCTTTATAGTATTGGACAAGTTCATATCATCAGCAGGGGTGGACTCTTTACTCCACATCCCCCCTCCCTTTTGAGAATACTACTTTATTAATATTTCTTACTTAGTATCTACCTCTCCTCTTTCTGGATAGTTCACTAATGTACTTTGTAGCTTTTCCATCTCATATCCACTTCTACTTATGTATGTTTTCTTTGCCTTGAACTTGTCCTTGTTGGTTCCACAATTTGTTTTGATATTGGCACATCAAAACTGTTGTCCAGCATTTTAAACAGTTCTTTAGGTCTTTCAGCAGTCAATCTTTTACTTTAGGTGATTTTTGGTTCTTTTTATGTTGGAATTTTTTTCTTTAACTTTGTAGACCAATTTTCTGATTTTAACTGCTATTATGTTGTCTTTCCATGTTTGCTTTCCATCCTTGTATGGTCTAAAGAATACATTACTGCCAATCTTGAAAGTATTGGTATCACTTTTATTAATTGTTTGTGATTTTCAACTTCGCAATAACTTGTTGAACACCAATTTTTACCCTTGTGGCAAACATTAATGCCTGATGATGTGCTGGGGTTAGGTGTTAAACTGTACACACTCAAAAAAATTTTGAAATGTCTCATTTGTCCAGACTTGTTTTTTTTTTTTTTTTTTTTTTTTTCTTTTGTTTCTTTCAACACTCTTTTGAACGTTCCCACAAACCATTCCACTTGCCCATTAGACCTTGGGTGATATGGTGGGGTCCTAATATGTTCTATAGAGAACAACTTGCAAAATTCTTAATTCTTTTCCAGTAATTGTGTTTAATTATCTGGTATGCCACATCTCGCAATCAATTCATGCAAGAAATTCACTGCGGAAGTAGGATTTTTGCACTTGTAAATTTCTGGCCATTTCGTAAAACTATCAACTACCACTAGACAATATGATAATAGGACCTGCAAAAATCGATATGCAATCTTGACCATAGAGTGTCTATCTTTGGCCAAGGTTCTATTTTGTTATAGGTAGTTTTACTTCTAGAGCACCACCTCTACATGCTTTTACAGTTTTGTTTAATACCTTAGTCCATTCTGGTCCAATATACAAAATTTCTCATGGATGTTTGGAATGAAAATCCTTTAATATAAGTTTCTGTAATACACTCGGTATTACAATTCTTTGTAATTACAACACCATTGCATACCGAGTACGCATTCCATTCTTGATTCTGTTCTTTTTTTAGTTTCTTTTAGTTGCTTCTTTATTTTAGCAATAAAGATGTCTTTTCTGTTTGTTTTTTTCTTTAATTTCATCCAGTGTAACTGGTAATTCTCCTACTACATTGCACAGAATGTTTTTAATTTCCATCTTGCTTTTTAGTGCTTCTATGACCTCCAATGGTTCCACATTTTTAGATATTAGTGTAGATAATCCATCTGCATATCCTAATTTTTTTAGACTGTTGGTACTCCATCGTAAAATTATAATTTAACAGGATGGTATCCTGATGCTGTAATCTGTTAGCTGTATGGGTAGGTACACCTTTCTTTGAACCATATATCACTAATAATGGTTTATGGTCTGTTTGCAACGTGAAATTTCTTCCTTGAATAAATTTGTAGAACTTTTTCATAATGAATATGATTGCTAGAGCTTTGTTTTATCTGGCTGTAATTCCTCTCTGCCGGTAGAAGCAAGTGTGAAGCATGAGTGAAAGCTTTCATTTTACCACCATCGTATTTGTGTAGAATTACTGCTCCAACACCATAGTCACTAGCATCTGACACTACTACAATTTTTGCTTTTGGATCATAGTGCACTAGCAATAAATCAGATGTAAGACTTTTATCTTGTCAAACGCTTTTTAACATTTACTATCCCAATTCCACTTTACTCCTTTTTTCAGTATATTATGTACATAAATTTGATAATAATTAGACAATCCTATAAAAAAAAAAGCTTGTAACATAGTTACAGTTGTTAGTGTAAGCATATTGCTATATTTCGTTTGCCCTCAAAGGATCTGGTTTTCTACCATTTTTATCAATAATTTGAACCAGGTATTTTATTTTTTGGCAAAAACAATTCACATTTTTCTTCACTAAGCTTGAATTCATATTCTCTTAGTTTTTTACATAAATGTTTTGACATGCCCAACATGTTCTTCTTTAGACACACTCTTGATCAAAATAATGTCCAGCATGGTATCCATGGTTTGTTGAAAAATAGCTGATGCCACCTTTATACTAAAAAAGAAGTTGATTAAACTTATATAATGTGTCGTCATAGTTGTTAATTTGGAACATTAATTTCTAATCTAAATTTGTAAATATGGTTCAGAGAGATTTGGCTTTGAAAATATTTTTCTGCTGTTCAAGTTTGAAAAAATTTCTTCTGAATTTGGTAATGAGTAATTGTGTGTTTCAAGACAACTATTTAATCCCATCGAGAAATCTGTGCAAACACAAAATTTTGTCATTTGTTTTTCTTCACGTGCACCGCTAGTGCAGTCCATTTTGAATGGCTTACTTTCTGCAATATACCAATTGTTTCTAATTTGTCCAACTCTTCATTTACTTGTTCTAATGCTGCAAATGGTACACTTTGTTTCAATTTAAATACTGGTGTTAAACCTTTCTGTTAACTTTGAAAATTCACCTTGAATTTCGAACACCAACCCAATTCATTAGACAGAACATTAGGAAAACATTTTTTAATTCTTAAGATTTTTGCTCTGAGTTTTTGAATTGGTCGCTTGTTCACTTATATTTTTACAATAAGTGTTTATTGGCAAATCTCTGTTTGAATAGTTCTATCCGGTCCGTACTGAATAGATTCTTCTTTTCTTCTGCTTATTTCACCAATAAAAAAATTCTCTCCCCTTTTCTCCCCCCACCATAATAATCTCTCATCAGAAACTAAAATTGACTTTAAGTCCTTCTTAATAAAGGTTTTCCAATTTCTTTCTCTGTGGTTTCATTTACTATTGAAATGTTATTACCAATATTTAGTAACATTTTTACTCCCACATTGTTGATTTGCACGTTAACAAATTTTCTTTTGTATCATGTGCCTATTTTTTTTGTTGCTATAGTGTGTATTATTTTCTTCCTGCAAAAATTTTTTCCTTGGTTTACTACTGTAGTGTGGTTTGATATGTCCTTTTTTACCAGTTATTGCACTTTACATTTTTCCATGGACAGTCTTTCCTAAGATATAATTTCCCACAAGGAAAACAAGGTTTTATATTCCTTTAGCTTCTTTATTCTGAAGTTTTTCAGCATCATGCTTCAGACTTAGCATTGTTGGCAATCGTCCACTATTTCCTGTAGTGTTACATTATGTTCAATCTTTGCTAAAAAAATTTTGTTTGTACTTCAGCATCTTTTTCCGCTGTTAGACCTTGCACAAAAATTAATCATTTGAACATATCTGGAGTCATTTCCTTTCATTTAAATTGTTCATATTGTCTGTTGGCAAGTACCTACATATGTGACAAAATCTTCATCCTCTTTTTTGGTTATATTCATGCACCACCAATGAGCCTGGAACAGAGAGCACTTGTCAGAATGTGTACTGTGTTTCCAAAATCTATCTCACCTTGTTTTCTCGGTAAAATATAATTGCAGTACTTTTCGTACTCAATTAGTGCTTTTTCTTTTTAAGAACAACCTGGTTTTTTATCTTCTTCCTAACCACTGCATTCCTGACTAAATATTTCTTCATGTCTGAAAATATGCAGCAAAAGTCAGTCTGTCATCAGGATTGTATACAAAATCCGATATGGTGTTTTGCATTACGTCTGGTGTAAGATACATTGAAGAATTTTTCTGTCTTCTTCCAAACTACATCTGTGTCCTGGGTAAGACAATAAACTACATCCAACATCAAGGCCTCTGATCAGGAGGTTGAGGAGCATGGAACCACCTCTTAATTGCTGGTGTTCCCAGGTCCATCCTGACCCAGGGTGGTAGCACCTACTAGGGTCAAAATGCTATAAAAGTGTAAAAATAGGTTTTAATAACAGCAATACATTTTTGGAAAAAAGATTACCGGCTATACATTTTTGTAAAAAAAAAAAAAAAAATTACCAGCAATGGATTTCTGAAGAAAGAA